AACTTGTTGTCTTTGATGGTGACGGCAACCAGATGCGGTTCACAAGCGTACACTGTGACCTGTAAATTTTGGCTTGTAATTTAAGCTTTTCATCGACCTTCTCAACAATAAAATGATGAATATATCCCTCCAATGCGTAGTTTAGGCCCTTTTGGTTACTTCTCAATGACATCTGATCGTTATGTCTCCAAAAATCATCAGTTGCCTCCTGTGAAATGCCGTGTACTGTGACACCTGCCATAGCGCCGCTCACTGAATGTTGATAGTTTGTCCGAGTGAGTGGAGGGGGCGTGGCTTAGCCATAGGTCAATGTAGAAATGCTTCCATAAAGCTGGTGTCAGACCTTCAGTCTCTGGACTCAAAACACTACATCCTACAATTCCCATGATGCAACTCAGAAATAATGAGTCATTTCCTGAATGAGATTATCTGTCTGTCTTTGTATCATCAGTATTGGTACATCTGATTGGATGCATGGACATTATACAGTATGGTGCGTCCCATGGTTTGTACCTGATTCAGATGTGATCAATATCTAATCACTTCAGTAAAGATCAATGTCTTCAGTTAAACTCATGTATAAACTCATATCTTGACCTCAGTTAGATGCAAATAACAGTTATTTATTTTATAACATCCACAGGCACAATTTTTCCCCCTAGAATGCTCCGCCTTGTCCCGCCCTACTGTGCTGTGATTGGCTAGAACTCTCATGGTCATGGTCAGGGTCATTACTAGCCAATCACAGCAAAGCAGGGTGGGACTTGGGGGAACATTGTTGGGAAAACAATGATGCCATTCACTGCGTAACAGATGTGATGAACAACAGGAACAGGAAGTGAGCTGACTGAGGTGGGCAGTGAGGCACGACATTGTGGAGTGGAGCGGGGGGGGGGGGGGGGGGGGGGGGGGGGGGGGGGGGGGGGGGGGGGGGGGGGGNGGCAGCTGGAGCAGGGCATTATGGGTGGGAATCCTAAGGGCAAAAAAGGCTGCAGGGTGGTGGCGTCCGCCCTGGTCTGTGCAGCCCATAATAAGCCATGCATCACATCAGTCTCAGCCGCCATGCAGAGGCCAACAGAGTGCGTCAAAGCTGGACTGAACACAGCCGCTGTGTGTTGGTGTGTGTTGTGTCTACACACACATAATGAGGAGTCATGTGCAGGTGTGTGAGCAGAGTGAGGCTGCCGAGGAAAATCTGCATCTAGCGGCAACCTCACCCTGCTGTGGACTGGCTTCATGTTCAGCCAAGATGGTGGAGGGGTGGGGGGGGTTAAGGGGGGGGTGGGGGTGAGGCTTTAGCACAGGAACTCCTGCTTACCCTAAAAGTCCCTCTCACACACAGAATCACACTGAACCTGTCGGCTCATACGGCTGTAAGTGAGACAATGAGAGCAGTCGACAGAATTAGACCAAAACACACTGACGTCTTACAGGTGACGCTCAGGTTAACAAACAGAGTCAAGTCCAAAAACACTCAACATCAAACTAACATGTTTAGTACAGGTTTATGTTCATGTTTACTGTAAAGAGTCTTTCATGCATTCATTCATCTAAACATAACACCTTCACAATGTCTTCTATTGTCTGAGAGATGCTACGACATGATGAGAAGGAGGATTTTATTACTCATTTCTTCCTGAAACTGCACCGTACAACAACTAACATATTTTAAAGAATAATAGTAATTCACCAGATCTCTTTCACATCCTTCTCAAGTAACCAGTGATTAATGGGTTAAATAAATCTAATGGAGCAAAAGTACAAGTGAAATAAAGCCTCAAAACTTTACTCAAACAGGATGTTCATTCTTTACCTGTGGACATGCTCTCCCCAGGAGACAAACCATCCAGGAGGCCCGTCGAGTGCTCCAGAGGCTGGGGACTGGTGCCGGGCGTGCTGGGGGGCTGAGGAGGAGGTAAGCTGGGTCTCTGCCGCGGCGGCTTTGGAGTCGGCCTGGCCTTGGTGAGAGTCCCGGCCAGCGAGGGCGGAGAGGAGAGAGACGGGGTGGTGGCCATCTGGACCTGTCCCGGGGAGCCAATGGTGGCGTAACCCTGTGGGTAGCTGAAGCTGTACGGGGAGGGGGTGCTGGGAGGAGTGGGCGACAGGCTGACCGGAGACGGCTGACCTGTCGACTGGTCAGACATGGCTCCTGACTGGCAGTACGGGACTTTGGGGGGGATTGGTGCCAGCTTCTTTGCTGCAGAGAGAAAACGAGCATCTTGATTATATAAATATATAAAAAACTGCAGTGATGTTTTACACCTGTGAAAAAACCTGCAACATGGAACAGAATCACTGCTGGAGACGTGTCAGAGCTGCAGACGTGATCAATGTCTCTGTGGCTTCATTAAAGGGGAACTCCAGTTGGGATCAGTATGAATAACGTATCCAGTGTCAGTGTGTGGCAGTCAGCACGCCCATAGTTTGGACATGCAGCAGGAGGACCATCCCAAAGCTAAGCAACGTGCTGCTCACACTCTATGCTACCTGAGATACTTGAACTCCCTCGTTCTCCAGTGTTTAAGGCACCAACTCTCTCCCAATTTATTTATGCACAAGAGATAATACCTGCATGAGACATGAGATTTCCTCTGTGGTTATTTGATATTGTTCTGCTGTAGCTTTATGTTAATGTGACTGCATTTAGTTTGGACTTTTCAAAGACATGTTTTGGGACTGACATGAAGTTGGGAGCATATTTGCACAATCAGGCGCACGTCTCATTTCTTAGATAGTTGAAGGCAGTGAAGTTAAAGAGTAATTAAACATTCAATAAATGAAAGGATTAATAAAATAACAATGAATGTTTTTCGATGAGTAAATGTCATGTTGAGACCGAGGCTAAGGCGCCACACAGCATCACACAGCATCACACAGCGTCACACAGCGTCACTACCTCTCCTCAGGGTGTGTGGGCTGTGGTCACACTGTCCACTAGAGGTCATCGCTCCCTGGAGTCCCTTCTGTCCGATCACTGGAGACAGCTCCTTGTTCTTCAGAGTGCTGAGGACACAGTGCAGGACACAAAACACACACACAAGAAATCACAAGCTTCTCTTTAACAACACGTCAACTCTGTGTCCATAAATCTCTCGGCATATAAAAGAAACAAAATATGAGAGCACCCATAGTTCAATGTCAGACTGTTGCAGCGAACATGTCGTCTCTACCGCGAAGCTGCACAAGCTGCTCGACATTCCCAAATAAACCGAATGGCTTAATGGATTTTCCTGAGTTTTACAGTGCAGCCAGAGTGCCGCTGGGAGAACGGCCTGAAGGTCAAAACATAACCAGTTTATACTGTGACTGTCAGCAGATGAATGGATGAGTGAAGCTGCTGGGATTAAAGACGGGGTGGAGCGATGCACATGAGCTCAGTAGTGCCATTAGCTGCTGTGTTGTGTTGCTTCTGGTCTGATCCTGCTCTCAGGGCTGACTGGGCCCACTGCTATGACTCATTAACGCCCACTTTGATAATGGTATGCACTGAAAGCTTTGAATTTCCTTTGTTGCCTGGCAACCGCCTCCTGAATATCCTGGCAACATGGGGAAGTTATGGATTGTATTCATGAGGATTATATTAAAGATGCATCTGATAATGGAGTTCCTGAAGAGCATTGATTTCCATGACTGACAGATAAACAACCAAGGGAATAATTACAGGCGGAGAACAGGGTGGCGCTGTTGGGACTCTCTCAGTCTCGCCCTTCCCTTCTTCTCTCCTCCTCACATCCTCCTTCTCTCATGTCCCTGTGGGGCCTCCCTTCATTTGTGTGTGAGGTGTGTTGGAAGTATGAGCGCACTGAGTAGCATTTACCTAGTCAGCTTGGCTCCTCTCTCGCGGCTACAGGCACAGGCTGCCCATGGAGGGGGAGCAGATAGGGGGGTGTTGGGGGGTTTGGGGGAGCCCAGGAGGAGGTCGTGGCGAGTAAGAACGAGCGGGGGTTTGATGTAAAGGGTGGAGCCATTTGTTTCAGAAGAGGCCGCATGCGAAGCGTCGGCCAGGGAGGCCTGTTTGGGCAGGTGCAGGGAGTTGGGTTTGGGGTTGGAGTTGACGTCGAGCTGCTGTGGGGACGGGCAGAGGGAGTGGGGGAGCGGGGGGGGGCTGTAGCCACAGCGGCGGGAGGGAGGGGACGGACCGGGGGGCACGGACTCGGGAGTGGGAGCGACGGGACGCATACTCGGAGGTGCTCGGGTGTAGAAATGATGGTGGGGGAGCGAGAAGGAAGAGCAAGAGGAGGAGGAGGAGGAAGATGAGGAAGAGGGGTAAGGGGGAGGCGGCCTCTCCTCCTCAGGGGAGGGGTAGGCGTAACAGGAGTCCGACCAATTGGAGGATGCATCATCCGAGCTGCAATGATAAACATATGAGGGTCTCCAGAGGCTGAAATGCAGTTACAGTGGTTGAGTTCATTAGTGTCCAGGAGGTAAAGAGCAGAGGGACGTATTGATTTAGGAAATATTAATAACGGTGTCAGGAGGGAGGAGGGAGGAGGGAGGAGTGAGGGCTCCTCGGGGGACAGCACACAGGAAGTAAAGAAAAGGTGATCATCTCAGAAATAAAACAGAAGAATCAATCACCTCATCCATTGCAGGGCCTTGCGACAATGGACGGTTATGCTGTTAATGATGCTTGGACTGATGACAGAAAATAAAACAGACAGATAATTCATGCACGTGCAGCAGTGAACAAATGAACTCTGGATGAACTCCTCTCAACTTTCTCTACGTTACATAAAAACCCAGCTTAAAGACAAGTGGAAATCTTCACAGTTTCACCGCTCGGGCAGAAAGTTAATGCTCCACACATGAAGACTACAAATTCAAGAATGAGAAAATAAACCAAAAAGGACACTTAAAGGTTCAGTGTGTAAGATTTACAGGGATCTAGTGGCATCTAGTGGTGAGGATTAAAGACTGCAGCTGAAACTTCTCCTGGTTAGAATTCCTTCTAGGAGGTTTTTACCAGGAGCTGAATTATCCTCAGTGGCTCCTCCTCTCCAAATCACACAGACCAGGGGTCTCATTTATAAAACAATACTATCCATTCTAAATATACGTACGGACAAAGGCCAAAAATGGCGTGTGCTAAAAAATATTAAACAGTTTCTACAGTCAGGCTCCACCTCACCATCTGAGTTGCTAATTTCCTGTCTCCAAAATGTTGGTCAGCGTGGGTCAGAGTTTCTCCCATCAAGTGTGGTTTTATAGATCACAACTTTTCCGTGGAAAGTGGCGTACGCTAACCTGGAAATCCAGATGCCCCGCCCCTAACAAATTCAAATTTGCTCTGGCCCCTGACGGACTGATCGGACCAATCAGATCAGTCTATCTGAAGAGGCGGGCTCTGGGCGGGCGTAACATGATGAGGACAGCGCTGCGCCGTAGTAGTCGAAAAGTAAACAGCCAAGATGGCAGCTGCTGAAGGACTGCGTCCATTCAGTTTAGCTTTGGGAGAAACACTAAGTCAACTACACTTATCTTTCTCCTTGAGAGAGGAACAGAAGACTGCCCTAGAAGCCTTCGCTTCCAGGAAGGACGTTTTTGCCGTTTTGCCGACGGGATACGGCAAAAGCATAATATATCAGTTAGCCCCACTGGTCGGCAAACACATGGGTCTTAGTGCAATGAATACGTCACCTTGTTTTTTGCTCTGATTGGCCATCGTGCTATCCAATTGTGTACAACGGCATTCAATATGCTTCAGTTAGTGCCACCCCTTGGGTAGGAAGGGTGTATCGGTGAGGACCAGACTCAAAATCTTTCTGGATTTGAGTCTGGAGTTCCAGGCTAGGCGTACGCCTCTTTCAGGCCTCATTTTGTGCGTACGCAGTGTTTAATGAGATTCCTGGTGTTTTAAACCGGTAAAAACACTGAATAAAGACGTTTCATGTTAAAAAATCTGTGTTTTTCTGATGCTGCTTGTTGCAGTGGGGCTTCTGAATTTCTGCCAACACATCCCTCTAAATCCGACTGACTGGACCTTTAAAGATCAATCACACATCATGCTTCATCAGAGGTGAGACACGGGGTCATACAGAGGTGATGATGAGCATATCGAGGGAAAATAGACAAGAAGACGTGGAGCAGACAGTGCTGATCTGGTGTCAGGTGCAGGGCGCAGCAGCACTCGTGGCGAGGAGGGAGCAGCAGCAGGTGTGAGGAGCTGGGGGGGAGTGGTGGTTGTGAAACAGGAGGACGGGGAGGGGGCGGGGGGCACGACAGCCTTACCTGGCTCGGTCGCTGTTAGTGGGAGGAGGGGTGGGGGAGGGGGAGGCAGAGAAATCCCCAGGCTGCTCGGGGACGAGAGCGTCAGTGGGCGGGACAGGGGGATGCACGTTCGGTGGCGTGGAAGACGATTTACGAGAAGAAGACGAGCCCCTGCGCGACACCCAAGTAGTGTCCATCACCCTGACACCCATGCTGCAGTGGGACAGAAATCAATCACATCAAGGGAGGGCCTGTGTGTGTGTGTGTGTGTGTGTGTGTGTGTGTGGTACAGGGGGGGATCATCAGGGCTGCTAAACATGGAGACTGTGCAGTGACAGGGCTGACCCTGGATCAGCCTCGAGGGTCTCTACTGCACACACAGCCTTGTACGGTGAACTCATGATCCTAAACACGCACAAACAGACAGCGTCTCACTTTCATGTGTAATTCTCTCTTTATGACACATTCTCTGCAGAATGATGATGATGATGATGATGATGTATGAGGAAGGTGAGATGTTAAATCTTCTCATAACTGCAACACAAGAGCAGTTTGGATCAAATGAACTAGATGAACTCGTCCTGTCCCTTTGGCCTTAAAATAACAATAAAGTCTCTCTTAAAGGCACAGTTCACCCCAAAATTTAAAATCCATATTTTCCCTCCTCCCTGTGGAGCTGTGTATCAGTCTGGATAGTTTTGGTGTGAGCTGCAGCATGTTGGAGACGTCTAGTTCAGTTATCCTGGAGAGAAGGCAGACATCTGTACGGCTGATATCTGCAACACTCTGCAGCTCACACCAAACTAACTGATAAACAGCTCTACAGGGAGGAGGAGAAATGTGTTTTTGATTTTGGGGTGAACTGTGCCTTTAATATGAAAGGGAAAACAGGAAGTAACTGAAGGATGTTGCTGTCTGAGACTAAACAAGAGGCCGTTGTGCTCACAGGCTGAACAAGTTCATCCAGCCTCAGAAAGATGCTACTAGTGTAAACAGAGAGAGAGAGAGAAAGGCCTGCTGTGTCCACGCCACCCATTTGTCTCCCTCCTCTGTTTTTGGAGACATTGAACTATAGGAGTCCAAGTGTGTCACTTCAGACGGACCTGACCGCAGCTTTAAACACACACACACGACAAATGAGCGACACATCCTGTCAACGTGCAGCTGAGACGATCAGATGATGAACAGACCGATGAGAGGATGACTCAGGGGAGGAAGGATCTATACTGTACCTTTGTATCTTCCTAATGCTGCGTAGTTAAAAACAGAGACAAGCACAATGAGGACAGAGAGAAAGGAGTCTCCCCGGACTCATTAACAACATCGGTATCAAAGCAGCAGAGGATGAGATGAACTTTTAAGACCAGAGCCAAGATGGAGGAGAGATACGGGGAGGCGGGCCTGGCGGGGGGCTGCGAGGGACGAGAGTCACGCTGAGTGTGATGAACAGAGCGATCTGAGGTGTGAAGTGTGCTCCAGTGCTTAGCCACGTCCAAACCCAGAGAGAAAATGATGAGTTAGTCTGGAGCGTTCATGCAACGCGTCCATGGTACAGCTGTAATATAATGGCCAAAAGTATGTGGACACCCTTCTTTGATGTGCGTTGGGTCATTGACTTCTCCTCATGGTTTGGTTCCAGTTATGGGGAACATTAATGCAACATTACAGTACATCATTTAGGATGATGATGAGCTTCAAACTCTTGTGTTTCAACAAGACAGCTGCCCCCCCCCCCCCCCCCCCCACCAGAGAACGTTTCTGATGCTGCAGCAGTTGGTTGTTGGCTGGCTCCACTCAACTCACTCTCTTTACAGCAAAAGTTTAATATAGTTCCTGGCATTTTTGATTTATCTCTTGGTACCACCTCTGTCAAGGTTCCAAGTGAGCTGAGGAGGAGTATATAAAGAGAAGTGGACACAGCGTTGGAGATGGGGCCCCATTCATTCCTATTAAACCTGCTCAGCGGTGCATTAAAGGCCTTTGCACAATGAGTCCGATTTTTTCATCCAAAATTGTTGCACGCTAAAAATAAATGCGACCCTACATTGTGTAAATCACCTTCGTGCACTGAGTCTGAAACTTTAGTCCGTTATTAACATTTTCGGGACAGGTTTGATTTTCTGTGTTTAGAGACGTTTGACCAAGAATCAGTGCAGAAAATGTGGTGACAGGACACGACCACGACCACGACCACAACCATGACAGAGGAACAGGGATCAGAATCATTTCAGAATTATTATTATTACTACATGTTCAAAATTATGGTGCGGAACTATGAGAATTTTTTAGCATTTTTTTCAGGTAATTTCCTTGTTTATTTTTAAGTTTCTTTTTGTTTTTTACTATTTTCTTGTTTTTAATTTTCTCTTTCTACTAATCTTTGGGGTCATTTCTGTTGCTCGTTGCTTTCTTCCCATTTTTTGACAGAAACCAAATCAATGTGCCGGTCTCAAAGGGTTAATAAGCACCTTTTATCAGCTACAGTTTTGCTCGACCCAACGACCTGGCGCGAGCTGATGAGGTCACGCTTTAGGCACACAGCACTCGGTGTGACGCAGGATGTGAGGCACCAACAAGATTCCACACAAACAGTCTTTACAAAGAAAACAGCTGTAAACCAATTAATCTTTTTTTTCTGAGCATCACAAACGCTCCAAAGTGACTTTTTATTTTACCAGAACTGAATGCAGCGGGATCAAAATTTGAAAAGCCTCAAAGAGCATCAGTAATTTATTTTCATACTGTTCTTCTGTGCAGGAAACCAAAGGAGGACTCTAAAGTGCATCGTCTGCGTGCTCAGAAACGTGGAAGCCTGTGGAAGCTTATTCACTTTCTTGCCAAGTGTTAGATGAGGAGATTAATAGCACTCTCATGTGTGGAAAGCCGTATTAATCTTCTCATCTGACTCTCTGCAAGAAAGTGAATAAGCCTCCAAAGGCTTCCACCTTTTTTAGCACGCAGAGCGTTGAAGGTTCAGACTCCTGTTTTATCACCTAATTTGTTTGTGTACCAGAGACGATGGCCGCCCATTGTTCTCTGATAAAGATCTCTAAAAACAAACGGTCACTCTGTGCACTCATTTTCCTGCCTTGTTTGTAACCTTGTGAGTTCAGACTGCCCATAAAATATTCTCACTGCCCACATTAATGTAGATGAAGTGCAGTGTGTGTCCTTCAGCTGGTCCTGCCCCGTACACAGATGAGACATTATGATTTAACTTAACATTTTTATTCTTCACATGATCCCCAGAGCAGCTGATTTTAGTGTCTGAGCATCAATTAACTTTAGTGAGGCTGTGCACTACGTAAAAATCTAAAACACAACTTTACAACCGTGTGCAGACTCAAATCTAAAAGCTTTAGTTCTTAAAAACAGACAAGCTTTCTTTCAAAGGCAGCCCCGCTGTGCTGAGCCTGCTGCTTCTGAAGAGTGTGTTTCTATTGAAAGCTGAGCTCTATTGATCAGATCCACCACACACACACACTCACACACTCGGTCCAGGTTTAATTAGCTGGGCTACTCGTGGTCCCAGGGCTGCAGAGCGCAGACTAGCCGTGGGGCCGATAAGACGGAGGCTGTATTAAAGCATTAAAGAAAGAGACACAGAGACAGACAGAGGGAAGAGAAAGAAAAGCCACTGACTGGCTCTCAGCTAATCCTCCTCCACAGCTTGAGGATTGTCAGATTCCTCATTTCACAGACTAAATGTCATCTCTCTCTCTCTTTCTCACTTTCTCGCCGCTCTCACCAGGCTGCAGATAAACAGCGATACAGAACTCTGTCTGTCCACCTCACAGCTCAGGTCACCTCTCACATGAAGCTTGTGTAATCAGTGGGGGATTCTTCTTACTCCTACTTCACATGTCCGACACTGTCAAAGAGGCAGTCATGGAGAAACTTTACTAAGTGGCCTTGTCTGGGTTTTTTTTTAAAGGCTACCTTGTCAGTCGAGCTGCCAGTTAGATCCTCCCTGAATGAAGCTGTGAGGACAGCACGGAGGTAGAGAGGACTGCTGATTGAGTCAGACGCAGAGTGACATCATTGTGTCTGTGATCACTGAGATGAGTTTCTGTCAAATTGTTGGAGCAGATCTTCCTCACAGTTGTGAGGTTTGTGGAGTGAATCTATGAGCCTGTTTAGACCTGGTGTTAACATTCGTCTGGGCTGATCGGATCACAAGTGGAAACGACCTAAACACAAGTGTAAACCACCTTTTGTTGTGTAAACGCTTCTGTCTCCTGATGCATCCTCGACAAGAACTACGTCATCACTGCAGGACGTGGTGGCTGTTCTGGTAACAGCACGCTAACACTATAACTTCACCATTTAACGACATGTTTGACTAAGTGTTGCCTGACCGTCCATGACGTGTCTAGCAAGCACACTAATGAGCAGCTGGTGAAAGTGTGGACGTAACAGGGAATCCCAGGAATGAGTCCTTTAACTGAGGGAAACTATAAAATATTTTCCTTGCCTATTACCCAGGGGAGAGAGAGCATTTTCCAACTCACGGTTCCCTTGTCATGAAGTCAGTGGGTTGTTGGTGAGATGCCTCAAAGGTCTGTGGTTAAAACACATTGTGTTTAACGACATAAAGTATGTCAGCAAATACTTTATGTAAATTTTGAAGCTGTTAAAAAAGGCGCTTGCTAACAAGTGGCTAAGGGAGAGTACAGAGCGTCATCAAACTGACAGCTTTACAGCTCTTTTTGTGGTGGCGATATTAAATGGTGACCGTAGTGTAGTTTGTTCAGAGCCGACTGTTAGCTTTGTAGTTTGGCCTCAAAAATCATAAAAGTGGTGAAGTTTATCTTGATGAACAAAATGTATAAGTATCTTAAGTTTTATTTGCCACAGAGTTTTATTTTCTTTTTCAAGATCCAATGGAAGAATCCCATTGAACCAGGGCAATGATGAATTCTGCACCAGCCTACAGAAAAGCACCATTGCTGTCCACATCCGTGTGTATCATGCGTGTCCAGCTGACCACTTGTGTGTCATGCTAGAAGGTCAAAGGGCTCCGCACACAGTTATATGTCTCCACTGTCCACTTGTGTTTGGATCATCAAACTGTGTTTTAATTCCAGGTGTAAAAAGGCTCTTTGTTCCCATTAAACATTCATTTTCAGGTAACTGTAAATATATTCAGGCATTTAAACACATTCAGAAGTTAATTTCATGCTTCAGTGACAAATGCTGCCTGGAAAAAAAAACCCCTCTGCTTATTGTGAGATGCTTATGTGCAGAGAGTTCGATAAGAAGATCGATACCACTCTCTTGTGTCTGTTAAAGGGATAGTGCACCCAAAAATGTAAATTCAGCCATTATCTACTCACCCATATGCAGAGGGAGGCTCAGGTGAAGTTTTAGAGTCCTCACATCACTTGCAGAGATCCAAGGGGAGAGGATGTAGCAACACAACTCCACCTAATGGAGGCTGACGGCGCCCCAGATTCAAACGTCCAAAAACACATCATTGAAACCACAAAATATCTCCATACTGCTCGTCCGTAGTGATCCAAGTGTCCTGAAGCCCCGACATAAAAAGTTGTTTGGAAAAACCTCATTTGAACTCTGTTTTTAGCCTCATTGTAGCCTGTAAGCTCTGTAGACCGTGAGACATGGTCACCGCCTTCATGTGTGTTCACGTGCTTTCGCTGGTCTCACACAAGCGCACACACGTGAGCGTGGTGCCCAGAGAGGCAGTCAGAGCTACAGGCTACAATGAGGCTAAAAACAGAGTTCATATGAGGTTTTTCCAAACAACTTTTTATGTCGGGGCTTCAGGACACTTGGATCACTACGGACGAGCAGTATGGAGATATTTTGTGGTTTCAATGATGTGTTTTTGGACGTTTGAATCTGGGGCGCCGTCAGCCTCCATTAGGTGGAGTTGTGTTGCTACCTCCTCTCCCCTTGGATCTCTGCAAGCCAGGGCATGATTTGCACAGCTTAGTTTAAAGACTTTCTGGATTAAGAAACTACAAACTTGTAGTTTTTACATGTCTGTTGGTGCAGAGACAGAACAAAGACATAGAGACATAACAGGTTCATCAGGGAGCTTTTCAGTGCTGTAGGTGGTATGTTATTAGCTCTGGGTAGAGTTCAGGGTGCCAACTGCCCAAAACTACGAAGCTCCATTAGTTCAGAAAATGTCCCATTTCTCCCAGTATACACACTCCCTACAGTTAGTTTCAGTTTTCCAGCCACTTTTGTGCCACCTACTGTAACATGGGTATTTTAAGCATGATCTTGTGCGAACCATCACCAAGTGTTTTTGTGCCTAAGCCTAACCACACATTCACCACAGTGTTGTTGACAAATGTAAAATATCTGTGGTTTACAGAAACGTACAATCTGATTGGTTTGTCTAAACCAGGTCAGACAAACGAGTTGTTTCCAGAGAAAAAGGTTTTAGGGATCACGGGCTGTCTGAGAAATAGGCTTCTGATCCAATGGGACACTTTTCAGAGTAACAGGGCTTTGGAGTTTTGGGCTGTTGGAACAAGGGGCAGACCCTGAGTTATGCTAGATGTTTCCCTGCGTCCAGTCTTCATGCTAACGTAAGCTAAGCTAACCTGCTGCTAGCTTTAGCTCCATAGTTTACGTGGTATCAATCTTCTCGTCTAGACTCTCTAACTCGCGGGGTGCTTTCAGACCTGGAGCCTGGTTGATGCTAAAACTAATCAATGAAACTTTGCTTTTGTTGTAAGTGCAGTGGTTTATGGATCAATCTGAAATGTCACCTAAGAATCAAAACACTTGCACCTCTCTGAATGTCTCCACCTGTGTGTGACTGCATTCAATGAGCCTGTTTCTTGTTTCTTGTCTGTTACTCTTTTATCGACTCTCTCTGTCCCTGTTCTTTTGTTTCTGTCGTTCTGTAGTAACTGTCAAACATGTCTGCTCAACCCTCAGTGGCTAAAGAAGAACAATATTCCACCATCGTCACACATCTTCTCCAAACTCCAGACTCAGTAGAGACAGAAGGCTCGTACCCATCCTTCTTGTAGAACTCCAGCATCATGTTGTCTGTGGCGACGCTGAGCGGCCGTCGACTCTGGTCATTCTGCTTCCGGTCCATCTGATCCATGTCCGGTGACGGCATGGAGCTGTAGTTGGCGTTGTGGTTGGTGTGGACCGGGCTGCCATAGTTCCCCGTGACATTGAACTCGATTTCTAAGAAAAGTTTGAGATACAGAAACATGTCAGTGAATTTTGTGAAGTCGATCCTCCGTCCACGTAAAAACTTGTTTCCTCTTCTATCACCCGTCCTCACCTCCAGGGAAGAACCAGTCGGCGTGCTGGATGATGGGCTCGATGATGCCGACGATCTGCAGGGAAACTGTGGTCATCATCTCTGTGATGTTCCTGCAGCAGACAGACAGGAGACTTTTATGGTGAGAATTTACACTCAGGCGGTGATTAGCACGTTTTCATGATATTACAGAAGCATTAAAAGGAGAAAATTGAAACCATTTCGGAAACGTTGGCTATTAAAATACTAATTAAAAGTTAGAGAAGGATCAAGAGTTTGTAAGATTTACACAGAGATACGAGGGAGGTGTCCTTCACCCTTCCAAACTGCTTACTCATCATCATCATCATCATCATCATCATCATCATCATCATCATCATGAGTGTAGTTTATGATAGAAAGTCCCCTGCAGGTGTGCCTGACTCCTGTGCCTCTCAGCCATCTTGTTATTAGCTGTCTGAGCTCTCAGCTGTATCTTGAATATGAGCTGTGACTCTGTGGACACACAGTCCTCCTCTTTTAGCTTGCACATATCAAACTGCTCACAATGTACGTGAAGACTAACTCTGCTCTTCTCCACTGAACAAAGACGACACTGAAGAGTGACTTTGATCAATCATGACACGACAAAACCTGCATTTTCTTCTCCCCTAAAAACCTCAGTGAAATGATGGAGGCTCAGTCGATGCGAGCTCTGCGCTGCTCTGCAACCACACGGTGTGTAATCATCGTAATACATTTTAAACTCCCACACTTTCAAACTCTCTGCGTTTTATTGCTGTTTATTTGAAGCACCTTATAAAAAAAAAAGACAAAACAATGTGTACCTGCACAGCTGTCTGTACATTTATCTATTTTCAACTGCATTCATATCATCTGGAGCAAAGCTGCTCTTACACTTTGATTTAATCACCTCACATTGTTATACCTGCACTGTCACTGCCATCCTCAGTACATCTACAGTGGTCACAGTCCTGGGACTAAACTATCCATTGAAATATTTCACTCAGTAAAAACATCCATCACAATCCATCAGGGTGACGTAATGATACTGTGACAACAGTGTGGCTCACTGATGTGTTTTAATATGGCACAGAGGAAGAAAACATATTTCAGACTTTGACACACAGCACTTGTACGTTTTGGTTATTTCATGGGATCTTTTGACACGAAGTAAAACGCAGATTATCACCAGACTTTAAATCAAACATGTGTCAGTGTCACTTTACACTGTTAACACTGTGACATTAAAGTAAGTAAACCTCTCTCTGCTCTCTCACCCTTCGTTGTGCATCCACAGCAGGTTCGGCCCGAGGACGATAGCGATGTTTCCGGGCGTCATCTTGTTCACGTCCTGGTATTCAGTCAGTTTGGAGAGGAATTTGATCAAATACCTGTTTAAATACACGACACAGGTGAGTCAGTGAAAACATAACATTCATGGAGCTTTCATCCAAAGCAACTTGTGCATGAGTACATTCAATCAGTTTAGAAAAAAAGATAATGTGAAGCTTCAGTGTCACAGTGTCTCCTCTGAGTGTGCAGGCACAGTCACAGTGAAGATCTGACCTCAACATGAATTAAGCAGCTGAGTTAGTGAGAAACTGTCGAGCTGTCTGTGTTCGAATACGGGAGCTGTTGATACTCGGCTAAAAGTAAAACTGTTCTACTTTTGTGTCACGTTTTCAGCAGTGGTACATTTTATGTTCATCTATCCATACACAGTGCAGCAGAAAGAGGAACAACACTGTGTGTCCTCGCTGCAAATCAAAAGACAAACATAAGGTGCAAACAGAAGCCTCTTTAACACTGCCTCTTCAAGGCAGGAATTTCACACCGTTATGCTGCCTTGCTGTTCTGTATGAAAGGTTCAATGGCAGAATGGGGGGACAGCGTTGTCTTGCCTATGAGGCAACCATGTCTATAAACTGGACAGCCGGCAGGACGGGATCATGAGCGGCACAAATGTGATGTATTGATGACGTGTTATGCGTGTGACCTGTTGAGGGAGATTTAAAAAGTAGCTGGTAGCAGTTAGCAGAGCTCCTTACCCTCCGAGCAGAGGACGGGATCAGCAGCCACTCAACAGAAACAGTAAACCATTGTTATTGTTATTATTCATAAAACCCTGCTGACATGTAAATTATATGTCACATGACAGGCCAACGCTGTTGTGTTACATGTGCCTGGTTCCATGATGCCGTCGTGATGTCTCAAATTGGAGCGACATGATGCCACCGTTGTCTGCCTCTGTGTAAAAATGCAAAGGTGGCGTAAAGAAGGGACTTGGTTGGTAGGGTCCCTATGCTGAAGCATGACCTCTGTGTAAAGAGGGCTGTAAAGACATACATGTGAAATGAGACATGCAAAGTTAGAATGTGGGAAACGACAGAACAATACTGAGCTGCACTGGTTCATCCAGGTCGAGCTTCCCAACCAATGTAAACCTCTTCAGGTCTGAATAAGGTGCATCTCCATGAGCACAGTGTGTGTTGTGTCACAGCTGTGCTTGGAACAAGAACACTGTGCTTCCAAAGCTGATGATTACAGCAGACTGTTATTACTGTTTTTCAGCCTCTTCCTGGGTTTTCGAAGCTACAAAAATGGGCCAGTGTATTTGTGTGGTTGTGTGAGTGACTCATCCTGAGCTGAACTACAGTTGAATGAACATCAGGCAGCTTGTTCCAGCGAGCAGCGATCATCTGGACAGGTCTGACAGGTCTCCTCAGAGGAGGACTGTCTAAAAATACGCCCTATTTGTGCGATTCCATGATGACACTGACAAGTGCTGCAGTATCTCTGCTCTTTCAATTTCCCTCCCATCCCTGTTTCTCTTCTTCCTCCTCCTCCTCCTCCTCCTCCTCCTCCTCCTCCTCCTCCTCGTGCGTTCTGATCAGGAGATAAGCCCTTCTGCAAATATCCACGGCTCGTCTTAATCCAGCAGCAAATACAGCAACACCTCAGATGTGATGCCTCGATCTCAGCACTGTTTCACTCAGAGGTTAGTGTTTGTGTTTTAATCTGGCAGGTGTCAATCAGAAGCGACGAAGCATTGAAGCCTGCAGTTACTATGGTAACGATTAGTGACACCTGCTGACCAGTGGCACCGAATTACAAGTCAAGTTTATTTATACAGCCTGATACAGTGGAGGAAAGTAGATTTACTCCAGTTCTCACAGCAGCATTTACAAGAGGACCAGATCAAATGCCTTGTGTGAGAAAGCTGCTCTTGATTGGTCAGAATTTCCATGTGGGAAAAATCCAGGAAGTAAAGCAAACGTTGAAGAAGAGTACACTTGCAAGATAAATGTGACACTTTCTAATGTCACAATGGAGGGACAACTACGCAGGTTGATTTTAGCGCTGCTCATCGTGGACTATATTGCTGTCATTGTTCATTTTAGTCAAATCATACAGTTTGAAAACGAGGCGCGGCTCCAACTAGAAAACAATGTTTTGATGCATTGGATGTGCTGAATGTGCATATTAAGGCAGTACAGGAGGAGGTGCACATTAATAATCCTCCAGGACTGTAACATGCTCATGTTTAACCCAAACAATGTGTCATGTGACTGCAGTTGCTTCACATCCAGGTCGTAACACCTTCTCACCACAAACCAACCGCACCAGAGTTCCTTTGGAACCGGACTGAGACCACCTCTTCAAGAAGGTCTCAGTCCGGTTGTTTTGGTGTGTTCACACCTGCACAAATGAACCGCACTGAGGGGGCAAACACACTGGAGTTTAACTGAACCGAACCAAACAGGGCAGGTGTGAACGCAGCCTCATTGTGAACAGGAACCAAATCAAAACTAAAATGCAACTCTGGTGCGACCAAATGAACCAAACTACAGGTGTGAAAGCAGCCTGTAAAAACAATAATCAAGCTGCCCTTAAAGTACGATTTTTGAGGACTTGGGGGGGGGGGGTAACCCCGAGGCTGTATGGCTGATTCTACTTTAAGTACAGATCTGAGTTCTTCTTCCACTGGCTCAAAATCACACATCACAAATGTGTCTCAAGGAGCTTTACAATCAGCACAGACCCCCTCTGTTCTTAGACCCTTGATTCAGATTAAGAAAAACTCCCTAAAAACATGACTCATCATTTGGCAGATTAGGTCTCCTTAAGATCATCAAGAACTAGATATCTTTGTGCAAGAGATGAACTCAGAAAGTCGAAGTCTGACTGATCATTTTCAGCTGGCAGGCTTCCAGCAGGTCCCAGTGGACGAGCACAAGGAGTGAAACGTGGAAACTGTGACTCACTTAAAGTTGTTGTTGTTGGCTGGAGGGAGTTTTTCACAGGCGTTGAGGAGAGCCTGCAGTCTCTTGTCTTGATCTTGAATGCTGCAGATGATGGAGAAAGAAGAAGACAGAGGTTGAACGTGTATAAAATCTGAACACAAAGTTGAAAACAAAAGCCCGTCATGATCAGCAGTGACCCGACAACACCACCATGAAGTGAGCGACTGACTTGGAGGCCTGGATCCAGTCGTTGTACAGCTCGTATGTCATCAGCGGCTCAGGGAGCTCCCGCAGGTACGACTTCAAAGCACCTGGAGAAGAACAAAAAACACAAGATAAATGCATGTATATATTGGTGCTAATGTAATGTGCACGTGTGAGCTCATAGTGTCTCAGTCCTATCACCACAGGGGGCAGAGAGCGCTGCAGAGACGAGTCCTAACACATGGAAACGAGTTACTGTCGCGTTCTGCACTTCCAGCTCTGTTATGTTGACGTCAATGAGTTTTTGGTTCGATGAAATACAGTCTGTGGTTTAGACACGCTAAAGAGACTTTCACGTTTTGTTCTAAGACATAAAACAGGGAGCAGCTGAGGCTCAGAGGCAGAGAGGTCGTCCACCAATCACAAGATCAGTGGTCCTCATGTCTGATGGCTGTTCCATCAGTGTGTGGCCGTGTTAAAAACTGAGTCGCAGGTAGCACCTTGTGTGGCTGCCTCGGCGGCCATCACTGTATGAATGGGTGAATGAGACTGGGAGTGTAACAAAGCGCTTTGAGTAGGTCCAAAATATGTCAGTGTCGGTACGTGTCTTAAAAAAAAAACACCTGCTAACAAGTGGCTAAATGAGTCTACAACATGTCATCATGCCAAACATGCCTTCACAGCCTTGTTGTGGTGATGACGTCATGTGACAGAGGTGCAGTTTGTTTATAGCTTATAGTTTACATTTACACTTCAAAAATAAAGACAGTGGTGTTCAATCATTGGTAAAGATCGTCTTGCTGAACAAATCATGTAAATATCATAAATGTAAATAATGTCAATAAATATTCTTTTCTCTGCCTCAAGTCTCTCTGAAGGGTCAGCTGTCCGACGACTGTCATAAATACATTTATTGACAACAGTAAAGATTTAAATTATCCTTTGCATGATCGTTTCTTTAAATTAAACTTATTTGTTTCTGTGCACATTATTTTGAGACCCACATATCACTACACACAGACGCTCCTGCTCTGATACAACCAGCACTTAAAAATATCTCCACACATCTCTGATCAGAACTGGTGGGTGGCGATGTCATTTTCCAGTCCTGAGGAGGAAGGCGACGGCTGACTGGGCTTCTTCTTCTTCTTCTTCTCCTCTGTCTGGTCTGCTGCGTTCATTTCCCCCGGGAGAGCGTGGGATGGATGACAAACAACTCAGGGCATCCCTCAGCGGGAGACAGCTTGGAGGCTGCTGTCGTTCTGTCTGAGTGTAACATGACTGGATGTGTGTATGAACCGGCATGGTGTCGGTGCTTTGTGATAAACAAACACATTCAATCTGGGAATTATGTTGAAGCAAAATTCTCCTCTAGTTTACAATATTTAAAAGGAAAATCCTTCTGCCTGATGCTGAAGGAAGATGAACTCCTGCACATCCCCACCCCTCCATCATGCCCCCCCCCCCCCCCCCCCCCCCCCCCC